AGGGCTGCATGAGGGTGGGAGATGGGGTACCCTCGATGTCCTGCCACAGCTGGAGCATCCACTGTGCCCTCAGTGCCCTGGACACGTGGGCTGAGCTGCCCTCCCAGCAGTGGGAGACACCTCTGGGTGCATCATGTTCCCACTGTGCTTAACTCTTCCCCCTTGCAGGGCCTCCATCCAGCCCCTCCACCACCTCCATGGGCTCCCAGAAATCCACAGAGAGCATTGCAGGCTCCAGGTGACACTGTGGGATGGGGGGATGTAAGGGACCAAAAAATGGCATGTTGTGGGGAGAGGGGGACAGTGCCACTTTTGGGGAGCTGCTGGTCCCTTGTCCTGTGCCAGCTCCTGCAGCATAAGTGGCGGGGTTGGGGGGGTGGTTTGGCACTCCAGCCCCTTCCCTGCAGCAGTCTGGTGTCCAGCTGCCTTTCAGGAATTCCCCCCAATCCTGTTATGTTGCCTGTGACCCCGCAGGTTTAGCCTGAGCAGGCGCAGGGGTCCCAGCCTGGTGCTGCGCCCGCAGTGCCTCAGCCCAGAAAGCGAGCGCTCCAGCAACCACGCCAGCCATGACTACCTCCCGCTGGTAAGGACCTGCTCCCTGTCCCCTGTCCCCATCCCAGCAGGGGGACCTGCCCTGCTGGGTGCCAGCTGGGCCACCCAGGTCGTGCCCAGCAGCATGAGCAGCGGAAGATGCTCCCAGTAGGTGCCTGCTCAGCCCTGCTGCATCCTTAAATGTCTCTGGCTGGCTTTTTGGGGGGCATTAGACTGTCCCTGTGCCCCAGGGACACTCCTGCAGCCCCCAGTGTTTGGTGCTGCGGTGGGTCTGCACCCCTGCCTGCCCCCCACACTCATCTGTGTCCCCTCCTTGCAGGTGCAGCTGCAGCAAGCCCGGGGGCCGTTCCAGCTCACCGAGAGCTTCTCTGAAGTGGTGCAGATCCCCCTGGACCGCCTGCGCCGCGCCTCCCCCTACGCCTCCCACCGTGCCAGCCTCAGCCCCGTGTCCCCAGGAGCCAGGAGCATGCCTGAGGCAGGACCCGGGGCTGAGGAGGGCGAGGAGCCCATCACAGCCCCGCAGCCCAGCTCGCCCCCATCCCGCAGCACTTGCTCCGAGGTGCCCAGCGCAGCCGCGTGGGCGCAGGCGGACAGCGGGCACGGCTCCGAGTCCGACACCGGGCCCCACTCGGCTGCCCCCTCTGAGGCCGGCGTGAGCTGTCAGGACACGGGGCCAGAGGATCTGGAGAGTGCCAGCTGGGCCACGGCGGTGGCCTTGGCGTGGCTGGAGCATCGCTGCGCTGGGTTCTTTGAGGAGTGGGAGCTGGTGGCAGCCAAGGCGGACGCGTGGCTGCAGGCACAGCGCCTGCCCGAGGGGGTGGACGTGGGCTGCCTCAAAGGGGCAGCCAGGCACTTGTTCCTGCTGCTGCGTCACTGGGACGAGAACATCACGCTGAACATGCTGTGCTACAACCCCAACAACGTCTGACGGCCGCCCAAGGGGCCAATAAAGACACCTGGCTCCAAGCCACCTGCACTGGTGTCTCTGTTATCAGCAGAGAGCTGCTGGCTCCACTCAGGCCATGCCAGGACTCACCAGACTCCTAGGAGGGGGTCACCCCCTTCCCAGCCGTCTCTGGTGGGAGGGAGCAGGCAGGGGAATAGGAAAAGCTGTACTGGAGGGACTCCTGGGTTCCATCAAAGCAAGTGAAACCTTGAGGCAAAGCAGTTTTGCAACTCCTCTCTTCTAACCTCACCCCAGAGGCTGCTGCCTAGCCCTGGGCACCCTGTTCCCACAGCTGGGAAGTAAGAGTGCTCATGGCTCTAGAAGATGCTCTGCCTTCCCTCAGGTGGGGCAAGTCCAGAGACAGCTGTTCTGACATCATCACAGGACAAGGATTTTTGGGAAGGGCACACAAAGCCCCCTTTATTTGGGAAGTTCTGCCTTTTGGGAGTCCCCACACCTGCCCCCTTTGCACAGTTCCAGGGCTCATGGCCCTCTTGGGATTGCTGTGGGCAGCCTGGGAGTCAAGTGGGAAAAGAGCAGGCAGATGGGGCAGTTCCAGAAGCCAGTTCCCACTGGCCAGCCATCCCCACTCTCATTGGGCTTTCTTGGACACGGCTGTGGATTTCCTGCTCTGTGGAGGGGTGTGTGACACTGGCGTGGGGGCCGTGCCGTACCAGAGCTGGAGCAGGATGAGTCCATGGCAGACGTGCAGGGAGAGGGAGCTGCAGACTGTGGAGGGGTAGGTGTTCCAGCAGAGCTCGATCACGCCCAGCAGCAGCACCCTGTGCAGGGGGAAAGCTGGGGGTCAGCCTGGGGGACACACCAGCCATCCTCACCCCCAGACCCCCAGCAGATGGGTGCTCCCCCTCCCTGCCAGCACGTACTTGGGCATGTGGGCGAGCTTGGTGGTCGGGGTGCACCAGAGTAAGTAGGGCAGAGTGTGGAAATACCAGACGTAGAACTGGTAGTGCAGGGAGCGGCTGCAGCAGACACCCAGGAAGTTGGAGGAGAAGAGGATGAAGACAATCCATGCACTGGCATTAAGGGGGCAAACACAGGAGGCTGGAGGTGTGGTCCCACAACAACTCCCCAGCATAGCTCCTTTCTCCAGGGCAGGCTGGTACAGCAGCACTGCATGATCTGGGACCCAACCAGGTTTCTCCCTGCCCTGCCTTCTCCCTCTCTCCTTGCTGCCCACCCTGCCAAAGGATATTGTTCACAGTCAAGCGAGGAGATGCGGGTTTCCTTTTGGCAGGATCCTTCAACAGAGTCAGAATGTTCTCTTTAGAACTGAGAGGGAAGAACAAACATTGATCTCAGCTGCTGAAAGTCTCTCCCACCCCAGTGTTCCCCTGTGAGCCACAATGCCTGGGCCTTAAATTCCCCAAAATAGAACAGTAACTGCCCTCCAACTCACACCTGCGATCCCAGGACTGCAGCACTGCAGGCAGTCATGGATTTGTATCCTGCACATGGGATTGGCAGGGATCAACACCTGTGGGGAATCCCAGATCTCACCTGTGCCACCGGTGCAGTGCAAAGAGCCCCAGGCCTGCCAGGTGAGCCAGGAGCAGAGCAGCATGGAAGACTCGATTCTGGAAAACCTCTTCGGGGAGGAAGCGCCAGTTCACCGTCCATTTAAACTGGAACTGGCGGCCCAGGTCAAAGGAGCGGGTCAGGTACCCCACAGGGTTCACCAGCAGGAAGGGCAGGCCCAGAACCACCTGCCAGGGACACAGCAGCACCATCACAGAGCCCTACACCAGGTCACTGTTACCCCAGCTACCTCCTGAGAAGCCCAGTGCCATGCGTGGTGACAGGGACAGTCAGCCCAAGATGAGAGTCACAAGAGTTAGACTATTTATCAACACCCAGCTTGCTGTGAGAGGCCACAGACGCTGGTACCACTGTTTGCACCCACGGCTCTGCAGCCTGGCAAGGCAGCCCACTATTCCCCGCTCCTGCACTGGTGCAAACAGGGACCCACCTGGAGCAGGGCACAGATGCAGAGCTTGGGGATACAGCCCAGGAGACCAAACCGCTGCAGGAGGAGAAAGAGGAGTCCAGGGGCGAAGAGCAGGACGTTCATCTTCACGGACACAGCCAGGCTGAGCAGGAAGCTGCATTACCACTGCGGAGCCCACACGGGAGCCCAAGCAGCCCCTGAGCCGAGCGCAGCCTCCTCCTGGGACTGAGCTGGCTCACGCACCCAGCAGCCCATGGAGAGCAGCTCCCAGCCCCTCACCTGAAGAGCAGGCAGCCCCAGGACCAGCGCTCCTCCAGGAAGAGGTTGATGGCGAGGAAGAGGATGGCCATGGCCACAGGGTCATTAAAGAGCCGCAGCACAAAGATGGAGTGGATGCGGTATGAGGCGCAGCACATGAAGAAGAAAACATACGGAGGGACCTTGCAGGGGACAGAAACACAAGAGGGTCAGCAGCAGCCTGTCCTGGACTCCCTGCTGCTGCTTGAGCTCCTCCACACCCCAGCCCTGAGCCTGGGACCGTTCCGCCAGGGTGAGGGCTCAGCAGAGCCCTCCCCAGGGAAGGTCCTGAGGAGGCCGGCAGGAGCCCTGGCCTCAGGGTACCTTGTTGGTTCGGCAGTAGATGCGGAAGACGAGGAGCAGGTTGAGGAGGTAGAGGCCGGCGAAGAGGTACTGTGCCAGGCGGATGTCGGAGCCGCGGCCCGTGGCATGGTACAGCCCCAGGAAGATGTAAACGAAGCCGGCGGGGTAGCTGTGGGGAGACGGCAGTGAGGGGCCGGGCCCCGCGGCCCCCCGGGAGCCGCTGGTCACGGAGGGCTGGGTGTCGCTGTCACTCACACCAGCGGCCCGGTGTCACCCCGCAGCTGGGCGTAGTCGAGGGTGCCGTTGGCGAAGCCCTCCACCTCCTGCATGTAGGCCTTCCAGTCGATCTCGGTGTCTGCGGGACGGCGGCGTCAGGGGGGCCCGGAGGGCACTGCGGGGGCTGACCCACCTCCACACCCGCCAGCCCGACCCTGTGCCGCCCTGCCAGGCTGTCAGCTCGGGCTCTTCCCCTGCCGGCCGCGTCCAGGAGCCCCAGCCCAGCCCCGCGTCCCTCCTCGGCCCCATCCCTGGCCGCCTCCCGGCCCGGTCCCCCTCCCGGGGATGCTGCCACGCGAGGGGCCGGGGCAGGGCTGTCCCCGTGCCCGCGGCATCCCCGCCCCCCGCGCTGCCCCGGGACAAGCCCCGCCATCACCTCCCACCCCGGGGACGAGCCGTCCTGGACCGGCCCCGCCATCCCCGCGGTTAGCCCAAGGCAGCGCCGGGCCGGGCCGGGCCCCGGCACTCACAGGGGACCCTGCGGATGACCCAGAGGTTGACGCCGCCCTCGGCCAGGCAGAGGCAGGCGGCCACCAGCGGGGTGTAGCGGGGCTCCAGCAGCGCCGCCCGCCGCTCCCGCCATGCCCGCCGCAGCGCCGCCGCCCCCCGCCCCGCCGCCATTCCGCTCCGTGTTTCCGCCCGGAGCGCTTAGCGCGGCGCACCGGCCCGGCCCGGAAGCCGCACGTGGGGGCGCGGGCGGCACGTGGCGCCCGGTGCTCCCGCCCCGCTCCCGCGCATGGAGCGGCGGCGCGCGCCCGCCGCCCCCCCCCGGTACGGGCGGCGCCGGTTCTGGGACACGCTGTACCGGCGGGAGGGCGCCGAGACCCGCGAGTGGCTGGGGGGGCTCTCCCGGTTCCTCCCGCAGCTGGAGCCCGAACTGCGTCCCGGTGACCGCATCCTCGTCCTCGGTACGTGCCCCGTGCCCGGCGAGCCCGGTGGAGGGCGGGCGGGCGGGGCTCGGGGTCCCGCCGGTGGATGCGCTGGCGCTAGCCGCCAGGGGGCGGTGTGGCACCGGGCCGGTACCGGGAGCTGCGCCCAGCCCGGCCCGGCGGCGTGGCCGCAGTGCCGGGGGTGCTGGCGGGCAGCGGGGCGGGTATAGCCGCCCCGTAATGCCACCTGCGGTCTGATCCGCCGGCGGGATTAAGCGGGTGTAATCACCGATCCTGTTAGCGGATCAGCCGCTGCCAGCTGCGCTTAATAGCCCCCAAATCCGCCCCCCTCCCCGAGATCACCCTCGGCCCCCCCGGTGAGCGGCCGAGCCCCGGTGGAGCGGCTCCGAGGGGACGGCTTGGTGGCGGGACACTGCCCGTGTCCCCCCGTGTCCTGTTGAGACACCAGTTCTTCCATCCCTTTCGCCATCGCACCCTGTTAAGCCCCCCGCCGAAGTTCCCTAATTTCCCACTGGAGTTATCCAGCAGGCTCTTGGGACCACGGCCGGCTCCTGCCCCCCAGCACTGCGGGAGGGAAAACTGGGGGTGCCCCCTGCCTCTTTCCCGCCTCCAGCCTCCCCACGCCTCCCACCCCAAGGTGAGGGGATCGGGTGTGCAGCGCTGCCCCGGGACAGGAGCCCAAAGCACCCACCTGGCAGGACAGGGGCAATTAGTGACTAGCCCAACGCTCATTAACTGGCGTCGAAGCCATGACGTGCCCCTCTCCAGCAGCCCCAGCCCACCCGCACCCTCCCCTGGACCACGGGAACAGAGCAGGGGTGCCAGCACCCCGCCGGGCACCCCGAGCCCTGTGTGAGCTGTGCCCCACACAGGCTGCGGCAACAGCGCCCTGAGCCACGACCTGCACGAGCTGGGCTACACCGACGTCACCAGCATCGACTTCTCGCCCGCCTGCATCGCGGCCATGCGCGCCCGCCACGCCCGCTGCCCCGGCCTGCGCTGGGCCGTCATGGACATCCGCGCCCTCGCCTTCCCCGACGCCTCCTTCGACGTGGTGCTGGAGAAGGGCACCCTCGACGTGCTCCTGGTGGAGGAAACCGACCCCTGGCACGTCTCGCCCCAGGCAGCCGCTGCGATGCGCCGCGTGCTGGCAGAGGTACGGGGTGGGGGGGCCCGAGCAGGGGGGCAGAGGGTGGACCCCGTCCCCGTTTGGGGTGGGGGAAGGTGCTGAGTGCCTCCTCTCCACCCTGCTTCCCTGTGGGTGCCCCAGCCAGTGTTTCTGTCCTCCCAGCCGGTGTTTCTGTCCTCCCAGCCGGTGCTGCCCCTCAGCTGTGTTGCAGGGGGGTACCTGGGGAGCTCCCAGCACTCCTGGGGGTGGGAGACTGCCCCCTCCTGCAGCCCACCCAGAGAGGTGGATGGAGCAGGATGTGTCCCTGGGTCCTGCTGGGGGAGTGGATGACCCCTCTCTTTATTTGCATGCTAAATACGAAGAGTTGGCCAGAAAAATGAGCCCCATCCTGGTGTGGGTGGCTGCAGGGGACCTAGGGGGACACACCGAGGTGGCCCTGCCTGCCCAGGGCAAGGTGATGACCGTGGGGCTGTGAGAGCTCTGGCCCCCCCGCCCCAGCTTCGATCGCCTTAGCCGGGGTCCCCATCATCTGGTCTGGTGTTGCCATGGCAACTCCCATCAGCATCGACAGGGCCATGGTGTTGCCACGGGGACGGGTGATGCCTCGGGGCCCTGTTAATTGGCGGCAGGACCGGATTGAACCTGTCCCGGCGCGGGGGTGCGGGCCCTGGCAGCCTCTCCCACCCTGCGGGAATAACTGCCAGGATAATTAATTGCTGCACCTCCCTGGCACCCTGGGGTTGCAGGGTGCTGGAAGGGTGCTCATGGCTGTTGACAGCCCTCCCAATCCTCTCTTGCCTGGCTGAACCTGAGAGGGAGTGCAACCCCCAGCAGGGCAGTGGGGCTGTGCTCGCTATCCGTGCCCTGCCCTCCTTGCCAGCGCTGCTGCCTGTCCTTGTCATTTTGCCAAACGGCAGGGATTTAATTTTCCCTTTTTTTTTTCCCTTTTTAATCCTCTGCTCAATCCCTGCCCTCCCCCAGCATCGCTTCCACCCGCAGCTGGTCCCTGCTGTCCTCATCCCCAGGGGGATTCGCTGGGTGTTCCCACTTGCTCCCTGCTTTGGAAGTCCCTTCAGAGGGGTCTGTCCGTGGTACCTCCCTCCCCACCCTCATCCCCCTTCACTGGGGGGTTCACAGCCTCTGTCTTCCTCTCCTGGGGGGCATGTAAGGACCTGAAAATCCACCCTGCCTGTGGGGACACCCCAGGGACACCCTGTCCCAGCGAGCTGGGGACAGCGGGTGTGGCGGGAGCGGGAAGCAGCCCCCTCAGCCCCCCTGCTCCCGCTGACGGATGGGAAGGTTTCCTGATGGGAAGGTTTCCTGCGCTCGTCTCCAAGCAACGGCCATTATTGCTCTATTAACGAGGGATGGGATGTGGACATGCGGGATGCCTCGCTCAGTTCCAGCCGGAGATCCCTGCCTGCCCCCACCTCCGGGGACCCCCTCCCCGCCCATAGCTTGGGAAGCTGTGGGGTCTTCCCAGGGCAGATTTTCAAACACGTAGCAGGAGGGATACTGAGCCGGGTGCCCAGAGAGGGATGTAGGGACCTGCCTTCACCTTTTCCTGGCCAAAACCGGTAGGGTTTGGTTCAAAAGCCACCGCCGCAGCAGGGGAGGACACGCAGGCTGCCTGTCCCCTCCACTGGCCCCAGCCAGAGCTCCCCAGCTGGAGCTTCCCAGCAGGATTAAACCAGAGCTCGGGAAACCCCCCACTTGGCCTGCAGCCCTGTCCCCTGCAGCGGTGACTCTCTGCCCTTGCCGGGGGGGTCTGGGGGTGTCCCCGCCTGGGGCAGGGTGCCGGGGAGGGGGCTGGACGCCCGCCCGCCCCGGGCACTGCCTTTGCATGCTGAGCACGCGGGCGCTGGCCGTAAAAGCCTTTTGACATTGGATAAAGCCAAGCAGGAAAATTGATGTTCTTTTCCATCCTGTTAGCGGGGCTTAATTCCAGCAGGGAGAAAATGGTGATTAAAAGGGTTGAGTCCTTTCCCACCCCCCACATCCCCCTCTGATTCTGGGTGTTGGTGGTAGTACTGGGTGGTCTGGGGAGGGGTGGGTGGGATGGGTGTCCCCTGCTGTGCCTGGGGGGGCCCTGTGCTCGAAAGGGTGAAGCTTTTCCCATGCCAGGGTTGGGTCTCTATGCTGTCTGCTGTGGGTGGGAGTGAAGACTTTTGGGGTGCAGGGAGAGATGGAGCATGGGGACCCCTGTTCCTGATTGCCCCACCCTGTGCGTGGTCTGGGGACAGATCAGACCCGGGCTGTCTCCTGGGGGATCAAGGTTAGGACAAGAGATTTGGGGGCGTGACGGGAAAGGCTGGGAGGGGTCTTTGGCAGATGCTGAAGGGATCCCTGGGAAGGGAGCCAAAGCAGTGAACCTCACTGTGTTCCCCCACCCCACCCTGGGGCTTCTCCTGACGCAGGTGAGCCGGGTGCTGCGCCCAGGGGGCTGCTTCATCTCCATCACCTTCGCCCAGCCCCACTTCCGCAAGCCCCACTATGCCCAGGAGGCCTTTGGCTGGTCCCTGCGCCACGCCGCCTGTGGGGACGGGGACGCCGGTGCCTTCCACTACTTCGTGTACGTCATGCGCAAGGGGCAGCCCCTGGACCCCCGGGACGTGGCCTTGGGGCGCCGGCTGCACCAGCCGCCCCCAGCCCCCGCCCCGCCCCCGCCCCCCCGGACGACGACGAGGACTATCTCCTTGCCATCCAGCTGTGAGCCAGGGGGCTTTCCCAACCTCCCCCCAGCCAATAAAGCCTTAAGATGCTCCATCCTCACAGGAGGGAGACAGGGAACCGCTGCATCCCCCTGCAAGCTGCCCAGTGATGTGGGTAATGGGAGGAAAGAGGGGGATACTTGGTCTCCTCCGGGGGGCACAGGGATGCTCTGGTGATTCTGTGCCCCCTCCCTGGCCTTTCCTTGCTGAGCTGGAGAGCAGCCAGGACTCCAGGCTTTGCAGCCAGTAATGAAACCAAATCGGGTTTAATTTCACCCATCCATCTTGCAGGGAGTGGCTCCCTGTCCCCCATCCCTTCCCCTTGGCACGGCCGGCCGGGCTGAGGGCAGAATGGGAGTGCTGGCACTGGGTATGGGGGGCAGGATTGGGGGTGCCACTGCTCCACTCCCCCCCACCCCATCCTGCACCAGGACTCCTGCCCCAGCCTCTCTGGCCATGGGGGTGTGCAAGGGCACCGTGTCCTTGTCCTTGTCCCCCCCCAAGTAGCGGGGGGTCCAGGCGGAATGTGCCAGCATGGGGCAGGTGGTGCCACAGGGCAGGAGGGCAGCACATCTGCCTCTGTCCCCATCCATCCCCACTGCTGCCTGCGATGACAATCCCGGTGTGCCGCACACGCCTGGCCCGTGTCCCCCTGTGCCTGGGGCCAGCAGCACGGTGACACGTGTGTGCCAGGGCAGGTGGGCCACCGCGTGCTGTGGGACTGGCTGCGTGTGTGTGCTGCTGTGGCAGGTGCATGGGTGTCACTGGCAGTGTCCCCAGAGGCTCTTTGGGCACTCTTTGGGGTGGGCAGAAGGGACCCCTCCTGCGGGCTGGCAGTGACACCACCGAGGCGCAAGCTCTGGGCTGCTATTTCGGGCAGAAGGTGTAAGTGGGTCAGCCAGCGGCTCCCCCTGCACCAGGAGCCAGAGAAGGGCTCCGGGGTCAGCCCCTGTCCTGGCCATGCCACCCCATCCCACAGACACCCCAAAAAGCAGCTGGCACGAGGAAGGGACAGAAAGGAGCAGGCGACTGCCGGCTTCACCTGGGTACATGAATGTATTTTATTCATTGCATTTTGTTCACCAGTACAGTGAAAAATGGCATTAAAATTTACAATGGATCATTCGTAGAACATCATGACACAAGTATCTTTTTTTTTCTTTTTTTTTTTCTTTTTTCCTCAGTTTTTTGGGTTTTTTTGTTTTTTTTTTTTTTTAATGGTTTTTTTTTTTTTTTTTTTTTTTTTTTCCCCGGTTTTTTTTTTTTTTTTTTTTTTTTTGCGTCGTTGTCTCCATAAATGCCACTCGTAGGTTATTGTAAAAGATGACAAGTTTCTCATGCACATCAGAACCCCCCGAGAAGCTTCTTAAAAAATAAAATTAAATTAAAGTACAAAATTAAAAACAACGACTCAGGCCGGTCCCTGCCCTCCCCACTCTCCCCCGACCCCACCACCCTCAAGCGAGGGGCAGTGCTGGGACCCCCCTGGCACCTGCAGCTGGCCCCGGTGGGCTCTCCCCGGTGCTGCCGGGAAGGAACTGCAGCGGCCGGTGATGCTGCCAAACCCTCCGGTGCTCCTGCTGCCTGCCAGCGGGGGTCGGGCCAGGGGTCCCTGCTCCCCTCCCTCCTCCTGCGGCTTTCCTCATGCTCCCTCCATCACTCTCGCCCCCCTTTAATTTTTGCCCTCGTTTTTTTCTTCTTTTTTTGTCTTTTTTTTTCTTATGGAAAAAAATATGAACCTTTTTTTTTTGTTGTTGTTGGTTGGTCGGTTGTTTTCGTTTGTTTTCTCGATGCAGTTACTTTGACATCTCAACGTCAGCAGATCGTTTTTAACAAAGATTCGGATATAAAAATACAAATATGAGGAGTTTCTGTTTAAAAAGAAGCGTGCCGGAGTGGTGGGGCTGACCCTCGGCCCCCGGGCCGGCCGCCCGGGCCACCAAGCTCATGCAAAAAACGATGGAGCAAAAAATGTCTCTGGACAGCAGCGCTCCCCCCCCTGCTCATGGGGCCGGGTGGGCCCGCAATTCGGGGACCCTCCGCCAAGGAGGATTGGGGGGACGCGCCGCGGAGCAGGGGGCCGGACCCCTTCCCCGGGGAGGGGGGTCTTCGCCCAGGGTGGGGGGCTCGGCGGTTTGTCCCGGCCCCGGGGGAGGCGGAGGGGTAAAGTGCATGGCTCGGGGGGGGGTGGTGGTGGCTGCAGGGCCCCCCCCCGGGCCGGGGGGGGCAGCGGGCATGGCCTCCCCCTCCTCGTCGGCGGTCCAGCCAGCATGCGGGGCGGCGGGCTGGAGCGGGGCTCGGCCGGCGGGTCCTGGCGGCGGGTCCCGGCTTACACCCCCGGCGGCGACTTCTCCGTCATGCCCTTGAGCACCTCGTCTATCCGGTCATCCTCGATCACCACTGCGGGGACAGGGGGGGCGCGTGGGCGAGGGGACGCGACAGCCTCTGCCCCTCTCACCCCCTTCAGGCTCCAGGTGTGCCCCCCAGGTGCTGGGCAAAGGGGGTTCAGGTGGGTACAATCGGGATGAAGGGTCGGGGATCACCCCCCTGCCCGGCTTGGGTAGGGGCAGCATCCCCCCTGCAGCCAGCCGGCTGCCTCTGGATGGGTGATTAGGGAAAGGGGGGGCAGGAATAGACCAGGAAGGACCCCCCCTCCTCTCTGCGGCAGGCGCTGATGAGAGCAACAGGACTGGAATGGGTAATGACCCAGCGGGGGGGGCACCGCCTGCTCGGCGGGGGTGGCAGCCAGACCCCCATCAGCACCACCCGCTGCGCAGGACACCCACCCTCGGCACCGGCATCGCTGGGGGGAGCCGCACAGCCCCCCAGCAGCATGGCAGGCTGCATGAACCCCCATCAGCGTCACCATGGGGGGCTGGAGAGCCCCCCGTCATGTCACCTTCCAGAGAGAACCCCCCCCTCAGCATCACCTACTGGGCAGCCCCCTCCCCGGCAGCAGCAGCAGTGGTGGGAGGCTGACAGACCCCCGTTAGCATCACCAGGGAGCTGCACACACACACACCTTCCCCTACCCCACACCATGACCGCCTGGGCAGGGACCTCCCATCAACATCACTGGGGGTGGAGGGCAGACCCCCACCCCAATATCACTGCTGGGGTGGTCAGTAATCCCCCCCCATCACCCTCCTGGGGGTGGATTAACCAGAACCCCCAAACCCATCGCCAGAATCACTGAGAGAGCAGGTGGACCCCCCCCCAACACCACCGAAGGAGAACCATCCCCCCATCAGCCCGGGGGTGCTGCTAGACCCAGCCTCCAGCACTGCAAAAGGGGGCAGTGGAGCAGGCAGCTCACCCCCCGTGGGGCTGGGGTGTATTGGAGCTGGGGGGGAACTCTCCCCTCCCTCCTTATCCCTGCAGCTTAAGGAGGGCTGTTTGCCCATGGAGGACCCCCAAGCAGGTGGGATGGGGGCTGCAGGAAAAGGGGGGGCCATTTTTAAGGGTCCCCAAGGCATTGGAGAGGATCAATGGTGACAGATCAGGGTGCGGGCAGCAGAGGGGGGCAGTTCTTTGGGGCAGTTCTTTGGGTCCTGATGGAAGCACGGGAGATGCTGCTGGGGTCTCTGCAGCAGGAGGTGAAGTACGGGGGGGCAGGACACAGCTGTGCTCACGGAATCCCGGGGGACAGTAAAGTGGTGGGGGGGATTTGCTGAGCAGCATGGCCAGAGGCTGCTGGGGGTCTCTGCGGCAGGCAGAAATGTGAAGGGAGAGAGGTTCAGGGAGGGCTGTGCCTGGTAATGCTCGGGCAAAGGCTTGTTTACCCAGAATGAGAAGGGGGCAGTCCCAGGGGTGCTGAGGAGCAGTCCCGAGGGGTCCCAGGGGTGCTCTGGAGGTGCTGGGGGACAGTCCCGGGGCAGCCCCAGCGATGCTGCAGGGTAATCCCAGGGGTAGTCCCGGCATGAGGCGGGGGCTGTTGCAGGCAGCGCTGGGGGAACAGCGTGGTGTCTGGAGCAGGGGATGGGGGAGCCTGTGGTTCTGGGGGCGGGTGTCAGTCACAGAGCTGGGGAGTCTCAGGGTTGCCGGGGGACAGTGCTGGAGCTGATGTAGGGCAGAGATGGAGATTCTGGGGGTGCTGGCGGCAGTGCCAGGGGTGGCAGGGGACAGTGCTGGGGATGCAAGGCAGAGCCGGGAGTCGCAGGAATGCAGTGGGGCAGTGCTGGGGATGTTGCAGGGCAGAGACAGGGATTGCCATAGGGCAGAAGTGGGAATACAAAGGCAGAATCGGGAGTCTGGGGATCTCGTGAGGCGATATTGGGGGTGCCAGGGATGCACTGCCCAGTGCCGGGAACGCCGGGGAAGCAAGGGCAAGAATCCTGGATCCCGGGGATGTTATGGGAAGGTGCTGGGGATGCAAGGGCCAGCGCCGGGGATGCCGCGGGGCAGTGCCAGGGATGCTGCAGGGCAGATCCGGGGACGCTGCAGGGCAGAGCCAGGGATACTGCAGGGCAGAGCCGGGGATTCCAGGGCAGAGCCGGGGGTCCCGGGGATGCCGTGGGGCAGCGTCAGGGATGCAGGAGGCAGTGCCGGGGACGTTGCAGGACAGATGTGGGGGTTCTGAGGATGCCATGGGGCAGTGCCAGGGCAGAGCCGGGGATTCCAGGGCAGAGCCGGGGGTCCCGGGGATGCCGTGGGGCAGCGTCAGGGATGCAGGAGGCAGTGCCGGGGACGTTGCAGGACAGATGTGGGGGTTCTGAGGGTGCCGTGGGGCAGAGCCGGGGATGCAGGAGTCAGCACCAGGGATAAAAGGACAGATCCGGGGGTGTCGGGGATGCCGTGGGGCAGTGCCGGGGATGCAGGAGTCAGCACCAGGGATGCCGGGGATGCTGCAGGGCAGATCGGAGGGTCCCGGGACAAACCCGGGGATGCTGAAGGGCAGATGAGGGGGTCCGGGGGCTGAGGCGGGGTTGGGGGGCAGAGGCGGGGGTCGGCGGTACCTCTCTTGGCGCGGCCGATCTGTCCCAGCTTGGGGGGCCGCTTGCCCTGGTTGCCCCCGAAGAAGGCGTTGGTGTCCTGCAGGCGGCAGCTGAAGGGCAGCTCCCCCGCCTCGGGCTCGGCGCCGTAGCGGCCCACCTTGTCCTCGCCGTAGGGCAGCACCTGCGACATGGCGGGGCCGAGCGGGCCGAGCCGCGCCGCGCCGAGCCGGGAGCCGGTCTGCGGCGGCGGCGGCGGCGGCGGGGAGGAAACCCGGGCGGAAGGATGAAGTCATGCATCCGGGGGGAGCGGGGACCCCCCCGGCGGGGGGCGGCTCCGGAGCGCCGCGGCCCGGCCCGGCCCGGCCAGGACAGGGACGGGGGACCCCCACGGCCGGTGCCCCGGGAGCGCCCGCTCGGGATGGGGACCGTACCACGGCATCGCCCCGGGCCCTGCCCCGGCCCCGGAGCGCAGTGCTCCCCCAGCACAGCCTTTCCGAGGCGCTCGCCTCTACTCGGGGGTGCCCCCAAGCACGGGTGCCCCTGTGGAGAGGGGAGCCCTTGTCACAGCCGGGTGCCACCGGGTCAGACAGCTGAGGACCAGCAGACACAGCTGGGCCCTCCCCCGGCATGCAGAGGTGATGCCAAACAGAGCCCCAACACCCTGCTCCAGTCCCGCAGCACCCCACAGAGCAGAAACCTCAACCTTCAGATTCCGGCCAGCTCCCACCCCGGGTCTACCTCAGCCCCTCACCTGTGTCCCTTGCCCAACACCCATCCAGGCACCCACTCTTGTAGCCCCATCCAGTGCTGGGGTTGCCCCTCGCAGCCACACCAGTCCTGCCTCAACCCCTGCCAGTCCTCTTGGCCCCCACGTGTGCATGTGTTTGTACACATCCTCCCATTCTGTATCTTTGCAGGAATGCAGGTGTGCACCGGTGTGATTCCACAGAGTCTGTAAGCGTGGCCACGTGGGGACTGTGCCCTGGGACGCCCCTTGTCCCACTGACCCTTCCCTGGGGGCTCTGTAGAAAAAGGGAAGGGCTGTGTCCTGTGGGGACCTGCGATGGGACAGCAAGGGGTGATCGCAGTGTCCCCCCAGAGCCCCATTTGTATCTATACACTTCTACCCCAGATCCTCCCTGGATCTTTCCTCCTACATTGTTGACTGCCAGGACAGTGATTACATTAATTGGCATTGGTGGTTCTGAGCAGCCTCACCCACGACCTCCCTCATTCAGGTCACCTGGGGCAGCTGAGGGGCTATTTAAGCTGAGGATAAAGTTGGTGCTTCTTGAGTGAACTGTGGGTACAGCCATGACCCCTGGATCTTGGACTGATGGTGACAGCAGCAGTGGCTATGTCTGGTTGGAGAGGACCGTCCTGTTTTGGAGCAGTCTGGTTCCTGCTCATCCAGCTCCCACTGCCCATGTCGGGGTCCTGGGTTGCAGCAAAGCCAGATCCCTGAATAGAAATGGCACTTCATTCATGCCAGCCCACGGCTCGATGGGAATATCTTGAGGGGGTGAGAGTGGTGTTTTCCAGATAGCCCTGTGGTCCATCTTGCTGTTCCAGCATCTCCGTAGTCTCGCTGAAAGGTCTTGTTGAAAGGTGCTGCAGAAGGGCATCAGCTGGGCTGATCCATGAGGGCAGGCAGGTTCTTCTATTTTGGGAAGGCTCAGCCATGATTTTACCTTTGTGTCTGGATCTGCAGAATATTGGTCCCTGCTGTCCCCTACCAGAGCCAGGTCGGGGCAGTGGTACCTGCTCTCCTGGCAAGGCAATTCATTTATTCATCCTTTGCTGGGGAACCAGCTTGAACTTTTTCATGTGAAAGCTCCTGCTCCTGTGAAAAGTGCCTGGGAAAATAGGCAAGAGGCCCACGCTGAGATGTGGCCTGCTTTTCCCGTTGCTGAGCCCACGTGCCACTGCCCGTGGGCAGGGACAGGCAGAGCGTGGCACGCGCGGGGCCGGGGGTGAGCGACAAGAGCAGCAGATGGGCTGTGTGGGATGTGAGTGGCACCGGTGCAGCGCTCCAGGAGGGCTCCCAGCCTGGCAGGCTGCCTGGGAGAGGCTGGAAAGGGGTCACCCTGGGAATGGCCCCACATATCCCATACCTGTATCTGCACAATGCCTCACACCTGGGGGAGCTACTTGGCTTGGCTGTGGGGTGGGGGGGAGCTCTGTGGGGCTGCCTGGGATTTGGGGTGTGGGAAGGACTGGCTGCCCATCCCAGGCAGGAGGAGGGCTGGATTTGTGCCAGCACAGCTGGGCTGTGGGTGGGACAGGGCAATGGTGTGGCTCTGGGCTCTGCATCTCCTTGGGGCAGCTCTAGTCTCTGGTTCCCCAAGGGTGCTGCTTGTCACACATCCCTGAGTAGCAGGGGAAGGTACCAAGGACATGAATGTGCATGGGCTGGCAATGGGGTGCATAAGAGACCCCCCTCATCCCCTGGCATTGCATGTAGCATCCCCCCGGTGAGCCAGATGAGCACCCTCCTTCCCCTGGCTCTCATCCCACCTTCCTTATTCGTCTTTTAGCAGCCACGTAATCTCCTTTCTTGCTTCCTTTGCAGCCTTTTGTCCGACACAAAGCCAGCTCCACCGGAAAGAAGAGGCTGTGGGAGTGGGAAGCACGGTGTTCTTCCTGCCCTGGCTCCGTAAACCTGGGCAGCAGCCTGAGCTGGGACACCTTGGGGATGATGCAAGGGCTGGGGGCCAGCCTTGCTCCCCCGGTGGATACGGAGCTGGGACACACAGCATCAGACTCCCAGCTGCAGTGGGGCTGGCAGTAGAGGTTGTGCTGCATTGTCCACACTCAGGCGATGCTCTGGGAGCTCACCAGTCCCTGCCATGCCCTAGCTCCACACCTGGATACTGCCCTGAGCCCTGCACTCTTGTGGGAATTCGGGTGCCTAGTCCAGGTGCTGTGATGGAGGTGAGAGCTTTTCCTGCAGTCACTGATGGTTCAAGTGGTTTTATGGTGGAAAATCACCTCGTGTGTGTGCAAGAGGCTCGTGGTGGAGCACGTCCTGCCCATGCTCTGCAGGGACCCCGGGCAGCTGGAGCTGGGAACCACCAGGCACTGCCATCCAGTCCAAGGCCTGGCAGGAATGGGGTCGGTATCCCTGCAGGCAGTGAGCGGATGCCAGGGAGCTGAAAGGAGGCAGGAAGCATCAGCCACAGGACCCAGGGCTTTCCCTGCTGCACGTCTGGGAGGTGGTGCTATCACCTGGAGCTGGTGCCACAGAGCTGGGGGCTGCCAAGGCATGCCAGGAGGCCAGTGCGGGTGCCTCCATCTGTGTTGCTTCCAGTCCTGCCAAGAAACGTGAAATGGCACTCCTGTTTCACAGCAGTGGCAGCCACTGGGGGCCTCACTGAGCGCCTGCTGTTGGCAGTGATGCTCTCCCCGAGTCCCCATCCCAGCACGAGGGACTGTGTCACTGGTAAGGTTGGGGATGTGCCCGTCCCTGGCTGTTGCTGCTGGCTCTCAGTAGCCACAGTCCAGATGGGGATGCCACTTTGTGTGCTGCCTGTGCCACAGTCCAGGTGTTTTGGGGGAGCAGAGACACACACTGGGCTGGGTACAGTGACCTTGTGAGATGATGGTTGTGGTGAAAACTGTCACCACAGGGCAGAGATGCTGGGGGACAGGTGTCCTGCTTGGCAGCTGTCCTGTGGGTGAGCCCAGGGCAAGTGTGCAGGAGTGGCATGCTCCTCATCTTCTGCTGTTCCTGCAGCTGCTGCTGTGGGAAGATCAGGCTGTGTCTGAGGGAGGGACAGTGTCTCCCCCTGGGAAGAAAGACAGGTTGTCATTACTGAGATGAGTTTGTCTGTCTCTGTGCACAGCCTGGCTTTGAGACGGGGGTGCCCTGTCAGGGCAGGTGGAAGGAGGATGGCACTGTCCCCATTCCTCACATGAGCTGCCTGGGACACAGCTGCGATCCTGGCATCTGAGCAGATGGAGCACCCCCAGCACACTGCCTGGGGCAGGGGCTTCACGGAGGGTCCCCTGCTGAGACCTGGGAGTGACAGGGGAAGAGCAGGAAGGGGGGGTAGCCAACCCTTCTGGGCAAACAGCCCTGCTGGGGTGTGAGGCTCCATCCTCGCCTGTCACCACATATCTGGTCACCATGACAACAGACAGGGAGGCAGGCAGAGCGGGCTGGCAGCCCTGGGGGGAGCGGGTGGAGGCCATGGGCATGGGCTGGCACACAGGGGCACCCTGTGGGTGTGAGGAGGCAGCTGTCAGGATGTGTGGCCTGTGTGACACGGAGGGAGGCTGGGCAGTGCTCAGCCAGGCACTGTGAGCTCCCCCCTGTCCTGCTCCCGACCAAATACCCATGGGAGGCACACAGTGGGTTTGTCTGGTGATGTGGGCACCGCAGCGTGGCCGGGCAGCCCCTGTGCCAGCCCCTGCCGTGGATCTGGCATGGCAGGCTCTGGCTGGTGCTGAGCTGAGCGGGTGAGTCATGCTGCTGCCCGGAGCCATGCCAGGCAGGACTGGCAGCTGGGTCTGCAGCCAGGCCACTGCTGGGCTGGGGGCCTCCTGGGAGTGGCAGAGAGCCGGGCGGGGCTAGAGTAAGGCTGTGCCCAGCACTGGGGGGTGGCAGCCTCCCTCCTTGCTGTCAGCACAAGGGATGTGTTTCCTGCCCTGGGCACCTTTGGGGCCAAAGGGGAGTAGGGGGCTGCAGTCCCCTCTTTAATTGTCCCATCCTTGCCTGGCTGTTGGGCCCTGGGGAACGAGGTGAGCAGTCTCGGGGAGCAGGGGCACCCCCCGCCCTCGCCGGCCCACGCGCCCACTCGCGCCAGCAGCTCTTGGCATGCAGGGAGTGTGTTCCTGGCAGCCCGGCCCTCTCCCATCTGGTATTTATCTCCTTCCCGAAATCCCTCCTGCTGCGGGGGGGATGCCCGATGCTGGGGGGGGTGAGAGGGGGAATCTGGGCCCCACTGCTCACTCTGCAGCCCAGGGAAGAGGTTGGGCTGAGAAAAAGGCGGGGTGGGGGAAAAGAACTCCTCCACACATCCCCACAAAAAGGCATGTGGGTCCCAGGAGGCCTTATTGGGTCCTCTGGGGCCCCCTGTCTGGTTGTGAGTCCTGGGGGCAACCCTGCCAAGGTACCTTTGCCCCAAGCAAGCTCCCAGCCCGGCTGTAATTGTGGCCACTGCCCTGGGGAGGGGGCACATCATCCCCCTCCCATCCCAACACTGCTGCCTGGATGACAGTGGCCTACCAGCCCTGTCCCCCACCCCCAAACCCTGGGTGCCCCAAAGCTGCAGGAGCCAGGAGAGCCCGTGGGTTGCCTGGGCAACTGCAGCCAGGCAGTGATGGGGAGCAGTCCAGGGGAGCAGTTGCCATGGAGACCCGAGGAGCACAATCACCTTGGCAACGGTCCTGTGTGTCCTGCCACCCCCTATCCAGGGCTGCAGCTGGAGGAGATGCACCTGGGCTCCACTGTCAACCTGGGCTAGCTCCTTGGATGAGGAAAGAAGGGAGGCAGTGGTGCTCACCCCTCCAAGGGGAGAGCCTTGGCTCCCAGCACCCACCCAGCCCCCAGCTTAACGGCGCGAAGGAAGAGGTGAGGCCAAGCTCAGCTCCTTGGCTTTATCACTCCACACACCACTGCAAGTCATTCCCACACCCAGTCCCGTCTGGGAGGTCAGCAGGAAAGCCGGGTTCAGTGGGGCTGGACACGAGGGCAGGCTCTGTGGCACTCTAAAGCTGCTCTCCCTGCAGCGAGTGACACAGGGACA